CATTGTGCAATTTTCATTGCCAAGACTGAAAAAGAAGTGTTCAGGGACCTAACTTACCCTTGAACTAGTGTTTACTGAAGTGAAGCACCACTGTTTACCCTAAGACTGGGGAACGGGAATCAAAACTCTTGGGGTCCTTTATTTTCTCCGTCATTCTTGATTATGGATTTACTGACTTTTCTGATGTAATAGAGCAAATATATCAAGTGGTTCTGTGTGGCATTTTTCCCAGTTTACCTGCCACTGTGACTTTAGAGAATTTAAAACATTTCTTAAGTTTGCTGCAGATGAAGAGACCTTAAGCAAATTCCTTTGATTCCTGTATCACAGGTCCCTGAGTCTAGCACTGCTCTACCTCACAAGTAGATTTTTTTTGGTCTTTATCACAAATATTTGGGAATATGAAGATACTAGGAGCCCTAAGAGCCATGGTAAGGAAATGGCTGCTGGCTTGTTCCTCCAGGACAAGTCTTGATTAGCTTAGTGGACCTTAGCTGGGCAGGGGTTCCTATTGACCCCTCTCGGAGTGACACAAGTCAGTAGGATTTATGGTTGGATCATGCTTTTGATGTGTAAGGGAAGAGTGGTAAATGCTGAGCTGATAGTATTCAAAGGGCTTATTCTGTTCTCCCAGTTCTTGAGGGCTTTGCTGACAGCTTTCCTATCCAAACAGGCAAGGCCCTGGCTTCTGAATTATTTTTTTGCAACAGTACTAATGGCACAATAAAGGAGGATGAAATCACCCTGTTCCAGTGTCAAGTTATTTACACAAAAAGGCTCCTGCTAGAGCAACTGGGCCAGATCATCAGCTCTTTGTTTTTTGCGTTGGGTGTATATGGTTCACATGTCAAGGAGATGTGAACTTACAACATCTGGGGTCTGCCGTCAGCTCTGAAGTGCTCTTCCAGCCTCTGGGCAGCACAGGGTGCCTTCCACACTTAACCAGCTTAGGCACTAGAAGAAGGAACAATCTAGCACAAATTCAGCAGCCTTGAAGCTACCCTAAATTATACTGGGAGCGTCTGATCATGGCTTTCTTGTTCTTCTGACCCTCCTGATTCAGAGCTCAAGAAGGTTTAGATAAAGATGCCTTTGCTTTTCCTGCTTGTGCCTCAGGCTTTAATAGATAGAGTGTTGGTGTCATGTATGAAGAGCAAGAGGAAGCTCTTTTTGAATCAACTCTCACTGGTAAACGACACTGTGAACTCAAGGTTGTTGTTGACCTTCCAACCTCTGTGAAAGTGATTTCAGAGTTTATGAGGATTTAGAGCTCAAGCAAACCAATGTGACTACTATCAGAAGAAAAAAATATTAATGAAGCATATTTTATCTGAAAACTAAACAGCATGCACTGACAGGTGAGGATTTTAAACAAGAATTTTTCCTCACTTCATTCCATGTCAGGTTGCTGTTCAGCTGTCCACATCAAATGCTGATATGCACAAATACTGAAAGAGGAAAGGAACTGGTTTTTTTTTTTTTCCTTTTGGAAGGGCTATCTATTAAATTCTTTAAACTGTTGAGTTGAAATACTAAATATAGATTTTAAATACTTATGTACCAATATGGGCTCTGCTCCCACCCCACTATTATCAGCTGAAACTGAACCTTGGTACAACACAAAGGGGTCTGCAACCAAAATTGTAGAACAGATATCGTTTCAATTGAAATGTGATGTTGGCAGAGACAAGACAGAACAAATTTAATTTTTCCTGTCAGTCTCTGTAGTAGATCAATTAAACTGCCAAGTGGATCAAATATTTCAGACTGTATTTATTACATTAAGTATTTATGTTCAGGCTGAGCATTTAAAGTATGATCTCATATAGGAATACAAGGAGGTTCAGATCAATTCAGCAGAATTTGCTGTAAGTTAATGGAAATCTAATTGTGTATTTTAATTTTGCGTGCAGGAGGCAGTAAGTTCCTGAAAGAAAGAAAACCATACCCTGTCTGTATTGTAGCAACTTGATCCAAATCCCATTAAAGTAATATCAGACTGTCATAGATGTTAGTGGAAGCTGAATCAAGATCTAGGGATAACACCTCACTGATTTTGGTGGGAGCTAGGTGCCTAAATTCCTCTGAGGATCCAAAAATCAGTAGGAACAATTCCTCCCTTCCCCACTGTGGACCCAGGGTTACTGCAATAAGATGTAAAAACCACTGATGTCTGCTATATGTGGATGCCTCTTTCTTGGTGAAAGTCACATCCCTGTCCATCATGGGCTGACTGACGGACAGGTGCAGACCTTGGGCTCCTGAGTCTCCCATAGTTTGTCTTGGCTTTCGTTCCAGCAAATTATGATAGATTTCACTGGATTTACAAGCTGCATACACAGGCAATTGTAAGGTAGATTCAATCTTCCTTACAACCTACATTAAAAGAAACAGGGCCAAATCCTACTCTCCTGTATTCTAGTTGGACCCTGGAGCAACTGACACTTGTTACTTTACATTTTTTTGGGTGTGAGCTGTTGTTTGCAAGAGATTTAACCTCAGTGAAAATTAAAAGAATGGTTTCTGGTTGAATTATTGCTAGAAATGTCCTAGTTTCCACCATAGGTAGCTGCACCCTCAGGTCGCAGAGCCACTAGGTAATATCAGGTCTAATTATTAAGCAAGGAGCTTAGATTCGTACTGAAGACTGATAAATATTTTATCCCTCTCTAACAATGGAATGAAAATTATTCTTAGGGGATGGTGCTGATTCCTGCTCTTTTGAAAAGGGGAAGACTCTTTTCCACTTCTCCCCACCTCCCACTAAGCAGACAGTGACCATGCTCAGCCCTGTGTTAGGTACCACAGCTGGGCCAGCCCTCCCCTCAGCCTGGGAGCTGAACAGCTGCATTTGAAAGTCTCTGTGTTAGAAAGCAGCATTGCAAAGACAGCTTATGCACAAGCAGGCCTCCATGCTTCCCCATTTCAAAGCTGAACCTTAAGATAGTGGGGCTTAATACTAGTGAAAAACTAGACTTCTGTTTGAAAAGTCTGAAAAAAGACTTCTGTTTGGCTTCTGCAGCTAAAGACCTGCTGCAATCTGTAGGGACTCTGAAGTACTGCCTCTTGGTAGAACAGTGGCTGTCCAGCACCCCACAAGTGACTGCAATTCAACAGAGCAAAAAATGACATCATGAGAGTGTTTGGTGGCAACAAAAACTGTAATTTGTGCTAGTGAATTGATTTTGTTGTAAACCCTCCTTCTGACCTGCTCAAAGCAGTCACAGAATTTAAGATCAAACTTCCTAGTGATAAAAGCAAAAAATTGAGGATATTAGTTAAGTGCTGAAACTTGTTTGTGTAATTCCTTTTAATGCCTGGACCCATGGAAATGTTGGTCTGCTGATCTTGTGCTCTATCAGAGGAGTTATTACAAGGAGAAAAGATTTTTCCAGTTGCATTAATAACTTGTCCCTTGCAGATTCTGTTTTTTTAAAATACAAGCAATACTTTTTCCTCAATGTTACCTGCAAGCTGCTAATCTCTGACAATTGCTCTGGAGAAGTCTTGCCAACATACTAAAACCAAACAACTGTCTGGCTTCATCCCTAGCAGATGGATGCTGACCCATTGTTACCAAGAGCAGAAATGTAAAAGAAAGACTACCTGCTCCCCGCAGGTTATTAGTTCCATCACTTAGTCATGAGCCATTTAACTCAAATATTAACTACAGAAATTAAAGCAAGTCCTTGGCTTGGAAAGATCAGAGGAAGACATTGCATTGTGTCAAGATGTGCATGGCCAGCTTGTTTCTTGTTGGGAGGTAGCATATCAGCAAAGGACAGGCTATTTCCAGGGGTGTAGAAAAGGATGTGGAGTTTGTGTGGCCTCTGAGACCCCTAGAAAAGTGGTGTCACCCAAGTTTCTCACCAGAGAGCAAATTAAAGTAGCAGGTCAGCCATCCCACCCTTCCTCCCCTCCCTACTCCTCTGACACATTCTCTTTTATTCAGTAGATGCATCTAAGCTAGGTACCAGGGTGATTTTTGGATGGACTACATGTCCTGCCCAGTGGTCAACCAGGTGTGCTTGTTTGGGAACTGGCCCAAATCCCAGTATTATCTAAAATAAGACAGAGGAAGAGCCTGTAGGGGTCCAGCTCAGGAAGGAAGGCAGCTGGTGGAGTAAGGACTGCCTCTGTCAGTGGGTTGCAGGGAGCCCTTTGGCTTAAAGGGATAGGAATACCCATTTCATTTTATTGCCTACTTGGAACAGCCCATGTGTCTCAATGGTCTGGCCCATCTCTTCTGATGGGACTCTTAAGCCACATCAGCAGTAGCAGCTTTAGATGACCTTGGCTCACTTCTGGAGGCCATTCTCTTTGAGGTCATCCTTAAGCAGCACAGACATGAGGTGGTTGAAGGTAGAACAGACTCTTGCAGGTAGACATGATGCCAATAGTTAGCAGGGGCCTGGCCAAGGAAAAGCCTGTCTCATCTTACAGTGAGATAGGAGAAGGTCATTAGTTCCTGCATAATAACCAGAATGCTTTGACCTTTCTCTCTGCAGCAATCTTTCAGATATAGACAAGTGATGGGACACCCCCCCCCCCTCACGCAACAAATGCAACTGCCCAAATTGATCAGGCTTCAGTGTGCAGGGGTAGGGCAGGGGATACCTCAACATACCACACTGAAAATAGCCACAGAGCAGCAGCTTGGTATGAGAGCAGGGGATGAACTGTGGGGAAATCTCATGTGTGATCTAAACTTCACTGTTTACTTCTGACTCTGCTTGCCCTTGCTCACTCTGTTTGTCACCCTGGACTGTTCACAGTGTAAGATCCTTCACAGTGGGCCTCAGCAGAACAAGATCTGACTTTTCTAGCCCTGATCCAGAGAATATCTACGTACCCACTAAATGTCAACAGGGGAGGGGATTGTTGCCGTTCAAGACTCCAACCCCATCTCTGCTGTCTCCAGATTGACCACGGAGGGAACAGTCAGACAGTCCCCATGACCTTCCCTATCAGTGATGGTGCCTTGTCTCCTTCCTCCCCAGGGAGCCCACTGTGCTCGTGCTGCGTTCCAGACCCCATGGGCCTCTCCTTCCTGCCCACCTACGGCTGCCAAAGCAACCGCACCGCCAGCGTGGCTGCGCTGCGCATGAAGGCCCGGGAGCACTCGGAGGCTGTGCTCCAGTCTGCCAACCTCCTGCCCACCACCAGCAGCAGCCCCACTCCTCCCACCAAACCCGGCCCCGAGAGCAGCCAGGACAAGCTGCCCTCTCCAGCCAAGGAGCACATGGAAGGGGAGAAGAGCGTATGAGACCGGACCGGCACCGGCCCCTCAGCTGAGGGCAGGGACCCGCTGCCAGGGGTCTGCCACGGGGTGAACTACAGTGTGGCCATGACCCAGCAGGATGTCATGGGGCCACCAGGGACCCAGCAAATCTGAGTGGCCTCTTTGGCTGCCTTTCACGCACCCTTGCTTTTCTTGCGCCGCTGTAGGTCCATTCCCTTGATTTATCAGCACTATCTGTGTTTGGAAACATTTGTGAAACTGTTTTTAGCTCCCCCCTCCACATCCCAGGGGCACTGAAACATCCAGGATCCTGGCTTGCTCCCACACATCTCAGCTTCCCATCCCGTGTGAGGTGGAGGGCTGGCAGCAGGGCAGCACTTTCAGATACAAGGTCTGAGGCAGGAGAGGCATCCAGGCATCATTTACCCCACCACGCACAACAGAGGTGAAGGAATATGCAGGTATATACCAATTTGGCCTGCTGTTTTCTGATGGCATTTGACTTCAGTCAAATCTATCCCAGGCAAAGCCAGGTGTAAGAGAAGCAGAAAATAGAACAAAATTCTTCAGAATTTTTTCCTTCTCTCTCCTTTTCCCCAAAAGTGAAACTTTTCATGAGTAGATTGCTGGGAAGTTTCTGAGATCAGTTTACCTGTGAATAAAATCCTTGCACTAGTCCCTGTGTGAACATCAGTCTGCTAGTCTTGCCATTCCCTGGATTAGACATAAAGGACACATGACTGCAGAGCAGCATTCATAGCTTCAAATGGTAATGCTTTTAGTTATTGGAGAGTGCAGTTGTGTCTAGATCTGCACAAAGCTGAGGGTATTTTAGCATCATTCTCTTGGAAAGAAAGACTGGAGAACAAAATAATCCTGCATTGCAACACTGCAAATATGTGCTTGCATATTTTGTTTTTAATAAAGAGAAAATAAAGCTTGGAAGAATATTCCTTTATGCCATCCAAAATCAGATTATTCCATTCACTGAAGGCTTGTAATGAATCTAGATATGAAAATGTCTTAATTATTACAGAGTGGGCACAGTGCAAAGGAGAAATTGGTGCCTCAGGAAATACAGTTTTATCTCTGACCCAAAACTCCCCAAAGCAAAGCAGACTAATATCTGATGCTCTAGAGCAGGCATTTCCATCTGGGGTGCCCCACATTTTTTTCATGGGAAATGTACATGCAGATTTAAACTTAGTGACATGGATTTGTTTTTCTTAGGTGCCTTTTGCAGACTCTTACACTTGTCCACAGATGTCCCTGGAGAACAGGGTGAAACCACTGCTCTGAGCCTTGACCAAGTAACGTGGAGGCTAGTTGACTCCTGTCAGCTCTGATTCTGCATATTGTGCTGAGGACCTCCTGCAATGCACTGAGCACATGCTTTTACATGGGGTTGTGTGTGGCTTCTCACAGGATCTGAGGTTGGCTATGTGCTTAGAAAGGCAATCCTGAGTAAGATTGGCAGCAAAAATCTCTCTCCCCCACCTAACTGATCTCAGCTGACAATTTCACAGAATCTGGGACTTCTCTAGGGTTTGCAGAACTTTCCTTTCCCTGAGCAGGGCTTGGTGTCAGCACCCATTTAAATGGTGAAAGCCCTGGTCTTCAGGGGGTGGCTTGGCAGCACCAAACACCTCACTCCAGGAGTAAAGAGTACCAGGCATTCCCCTAGGGTGGAGTTTGTGTCTTCTGAACATATGTCATCAGAGAGAGCATTGCTGGGTCTATCTTTGGATCCAGGTACAAAGAAAAGTCTGACAGGGTCCACATTCATCAAATGGAGTAATTTTGCTTTTCCTTTGCTACATGTGTGTTTCTTTTGGCAATCCTGGACTGTCCTAATTAAGGGGGAGAACATGCAGTAGTCTGTGATCCACCTTTGTGTTCCAGCTTCAGGAGCTGCTCTACTGAACTGTAGGTGGAGGTGCCTTCCCTGGCTGCAAATTATGGCTCAGATTAAACAACAGCAACAATCTTTTTCTTCCACCAAAATAAAATAAATTGCTGTGTGCTTTGTTGTGGGAAGTGGTTGGAGAAGAGAGAATTTTTCTTAGTGATCTTCCCATAGTTTTTTTGTGCTCCCTCTCCCAAAAGACTAAAAAAAATATTCCACTCCAAAGAGGCAGGTCCAACTTCATTTCAACATAATTACCTTGCATTCAGTTGAACTTCAGCCCTTCTGTACACTAACTCTTCAATCTAATTGTTTGATTAAACTCGTATTTCCTCCAGAAAGGTACATAAATAAGTGAATTGTTGAGCAAATTAAGAATACTTAACAGCATTGCATCTGAAAAGTAGTTACGCTGATTAAATTTTCTGTCCTTGAGGATTTTCAGGAAATTACTTTTGATCGTCAATAACACAATTAAGTAAACTACACGCACATTAGCATGAATAATTGATAAGAAATTATGTATTACCACGAAGCACTGATTTAATAATTCATGATGCGACACTCTAGTGACTGTGCAAAACTGGATAGCATCGACAAGTCTGCCTGATGTTGCTGGAAATGCTGCAATTACAAACAAGTCCATAGTTTTGTTGTACAATAAAGAAAAGTATCTGATGCATGCTGTAGTTTCTGTTTGTTTAATACTTGAATAAATTTAGAAAGAAGACTCTGAAAAGTTCCTGTACTGTTTTCATTCAGATCAATTTCTTCGTCCAAGCATCTATTCTCACATTGTTGACTGTCCAGCTGTGCTTAGACCACAAAGATGTTGCAGAATGGAGGGGTCTTTCAGATTCATAGCTGGAACATCTTGGTGTCTCACAGCTTGCAAAATTAGGGGCCCCAAAGTTTTGCAGAGCCCCCTGTTTGGAACAAGGTGGCCTTAGTCTCCCTTAAGCCTGAGCCCAAAGTCTTTTACACTCTTTAGTGTCTTACGTATTCTTGATTATAGTTATTTGGTATGATTTTGTGGGTGGTTGCTCTATGCCAGACATAAATGAAGCTTTCAGATTTGTATGTTCTGACTGCACAATACCACGTTAAACCCTAGCCCAATTCACCAACAACTCTTGCAACCCCCCTAAGGGAGACAGATGCATATTTTCATTCTCATTAGCATGCTGGGGAGAAAAGGGCATAGTAAGCCAGGTTTTCCTCTCAAGTTTTGATGTGAAATCTGTCTGCTCAGGGCAGCTCAGCCCAAGGGAACTTGCTCGAGGTCGCTGAGCAGTAGCACAAGGGCAAAAACAAAACTCAAGAGATCTGTATCTCAGTCATGCCCGCTTCTAGCCACCAGACCCTGCTCCCTTCCAGATAGACTGCCCACTGCGGATGAGCCACCTACGTTCTTTCTGTGCTATCATATATCAGGGCTGTGCCACTTAAACCACTCCTGTAATGGCCATCTCAGTAGCTCTGATTAAGTCTGGCATTTAAAAGTTTATAACTCGGCTATAAAAAGTCACTCAGGCTGAACCCCAGCGTGAGAGGCCCAAGCCCAAGGGGATGATTTACATGCGAGCTATTCCAAAATCAACCTGTGTGATATTTTTTCAGTTCTGTGATGGAAAAATGGAAGCCCAAGGTTTGAGGGAACAGATATAAGACAAAGATGTTTTGTTTAATGGCTTACTGCATTGTAACTAGATACCATGCAGTAATTTTCTGTGAATTTCCACACTAGCATGAGCCACACGTGGCATGAATGGCCTCTGTGCAAATGTCACTTGCATGATTTTGGTAAAGCTTCTCCAGTTCTGGGCTCTTTTCTCAAGAAATCACAAATATCCACAATGCCCAAATTTCCCCCATCCCCCACCTTCCCTGCTTGGACCATCTCCCAACATCCTCACTCACCACTCTGCAGAAAGCCTGCGGTCCTGCCTCCAGCTCTGGTGCTGACTTTCAGCTTGTGCTTTCCCCATGCCACAGTCCCTGCTGCCCTGCGCAGGGCCCTGCCCCACTGCTGAGGCCAGTGCCGGGAGGCTATGGCAGAGCCAGCCGGCAAGCTGGTGCTCCAGGTGTGTGCGCATGGGTATCGCAGCACGTTGGTCTGGGTTTTGTTAATGGGGGTTGATGCAAAACATCAGGCCATGAGACCTTCTTTAGAAGATTGCATGCCATTCTCTCAATTCTCCATGATTTTTATCTCTTGCACATGTATTTAGGCCTCCTTATGCCTACATACATTATAGCAGGAATGCACCTTTGCTAGGTTATGCTGTAGGCCAGTCCTTCCTACACTGCATTCTGGATAGTAATGAGACTATTAGGCTAATTGTCTCTTTATTAAGAGTATTATTTACAGTGATGCTGAAGGCCATGTGCATGCAGAAAATTATCTTCGTATACCATCAGTTCTTCCCTCTTGCAGTCGGTGCCCTCTGCTCTGTGTTCCCCACAGGTTGCTGCCCTTGGTGAGTTTGGGTTGACCTTCTCTACACCTCCCAGAGGACTCCCTCATCATGTGTCAGGGCCAGGGAGAAAAGCCTACTGGTAGTGCTGTGTCTCTGGGAAGTTTGCACTTCTGCTGTATGCTTAAGCTTTCTGCTTCCCTGTAGCAGAAAGAAATCGGCACAGTGTGGGAGGAAGTCGTTTGCTGCTGGGTGGACCACGAGGGAGCAGGGGATGGAGATGAAATGCTTGTGGTGTGCTGCTGTGGCACACTCTCCCCCTAAAAGAGCCGTTACTCAATAAAGATCCTGTTGTGCCTGGCCATTTACGTGGTGGAAGCTGTGTGTAAAGCAGGGGAAGCGAGAAGCCCTGAATTGATACCCAAGCTCCAAGTACATAATTCAGACCTTTCCACTGAAGAGTTTGACACCCCTGCCATAAATAAAAGAGCAGTAGAGTACAATAAACAATGCTTTATTCTTTCCAGTTAAAAACTTCCTTTGCACTGTAGTAAAATATTGACTTCAGGTGACCATATTACCACACAATATGATCTTTTCCTGATACTAACCAAAGCAGCCTTTACATAGATCTGGCCTGTGAGAATGAGAATATTATTGGTATATAGCAAATCCAGCCTTATTTGAGAGTGATGTATTGAAAAATATTTTAATAATCCAACCACAACATCCTTGTTACCAGGCCTAAGCTCTCTGCCACAAAACAAGTAGGTGCTGGTCTGCTGTCTCAGAAGTCTGAGCATCATTTTGTGGAACTGTGACAAGTCTCCTGTGGTAAACTTATAATAGTTAAAACTCACCAAGATTTAAAGTATTGGCCTGCATAACTCGTCAAGTATTTAACCTTGATGGCTTCTTCTGTAGTCAGTGCTTTTACAATACTGCTGTAACATCCATAACATGATACAGAGAAGGAAATAAACCATCACCACCTGTGCAATTTTAGCCAAGAAGAGTTCTCACATGCAGAGGAGCAAAAAAATGCAGCTCTTTTCTGCAGGCTGAATCACTTCCAGATCTAATGCTCAACCCAATTCTGTTCTGATGGGTCTGGAAGTTACCTTGCATCTATATTTTCTCATAAAAGGTAACAGCAGCACTGAAGCTGGTTCTGGTCTTGGACAGTTAACAGTTTATCTAAATGATCCTACAGTCACTGGAGGATGGTGCTGGAGCACCTGAGACTGTGACAGCTCTGTACAGAGGAAATACTCTCTTCTCTGGGCTGGTCTAGTGGCAGGGCGGTTGTTACTGCCCTGCTTGCTAAGCCCCAGCATAAGCTAGAGTACTATGACATTAATGCTATATACAGGTGGACAACTGGAAGTATGTCATCCTTCACGACCTATTTTATGCCCCACGGATGGCCTGGACATATATAGCTTGTTAGCTGCCCAGGTCTAGTCTGGTATGCAAGTTCTTGTGTATTCTGAGCAGTGTCCTTCAGCCCAGGTTGGGAGACCTCTGATAGTATGGTCAGAAAATGCACCTGAGAGAGCAGCCACTAGAAGGTAGCCCAGACACAACCAGTCTGAGATGCTGGTCCTTGAGACTGGTCAAGACCAGGAGAAAACTTTTAATTTCTAATTAAGGTGTGTTTGCTTTGTCAGCTGAACTGGTTTACCTTTCAGTTCTCCTGCTTCAGAATTTTTGTTTATTAAATTCAAGTATTCAGCATTGGCCCTAGAGACTAACACTTGCTATAGTGGCAAATTTATTAAGACTCCCCTAGGTATTGAATAGGCTGATGTTTTTTATTATATGCACACAGCTTCTTTACACCCGCACTGTACATGAGCTGATGTGTTAAATAAGATCCAAAGCCCATTAAATGAAGAAGCCCATCTCTGCAAAGAAGACTCCCCAGGAACCTAAACTCTCCCTGTTATATCACAGCTGGCTCACCCTTGCTCCATCGTGCTGGCTGAAGCCATCAGGTTTTGGCAGATGCTTGAGAACCAAGATGCTGATGTGATCACCAGTCCTTGGCACAGCAAGGGAAAGAAGGATCTCTGGGAGTTGTTCATTTTTATTAGAAATATTTCTGTAGCAGTGTGCAAGAAATTGACTCCTGGCAGGGAAGGAAGATGTACAGGAGAAAAGAAATTATTCTATTTCTTCTCTGAACCATTACTCACGTTTAGAGCTAAACCTACCTGGGACTGAGCCAGAGGTTCT